AGCACATACAAGTTTATTTCCCTATTAAAATTATGATAGGATTTTAGATTATGTATTTAGCCCCTAACTAGCTCATTTCATTATCATTATAAAATTCTAAGATAATTATTAAAAAATGTTTCAAATTAAAAATTTCCAATAAATCTAATTTTTATTTCTATTTATTAACTTAATCAAAAGTTATTGATTATTGAAACCTAGACTTATTTCAAATTCAAATATTATTTATACTTTATTTTTTTATTAAATATTTATTAACTTTAATAAACCACCTTTTCTAATTTAATTTATAAATTAATAATTTTATATATATAATATTTAAATCATGAAAGACAATATTTAAATATCTTAAATTATTTAATTAAAATTAAAATATTCTATAATTTCTTAAAGTTATTAATTTTTCAATAAATTTATCTAAACTTGAATATAATATAATCCTATTATCATCAAAATTTAAATTCTTTTCTATATCTAATCATATTATTTAATTAATAATTCAAAGAAATAGTATAGTATAGTTTAACATCGAGTAATTTATATTACTAAATAATCTACTTTAAATATATATAAAATTCGTCTATATATAATCGTATACTTTATTTATTTATTAATATAATTTTTTTAGAATTTAAGATATAATATTTAATTATATAATTATTATAATGTTAGAATACGAGTAAAGACTTATATTATATTATAAGAATAAAAGAGCTATAGAAGAGTAAGACTCTACTTATAGGAAGCAGGGCACGCTAGTGGTCTATGCCTGAGGCACGAGGGCAACTACAGATCATGTAGTTGACGTCGTAACATATAAAAATCTAATTTGTTTTTAATATTTTTACAATAAAACTCGTAACAATTTTGATTTATTCAATATTGTAATAAGAATATTTGTATAAAAACTAAATTTTTCAAAAGCTTATTTTTTATTATTATTTAAAGTTTTTTTCTTTTTTAAAAATAATGTTTAGTTATTAAAATATAAATATTAAAAAACATGTAATTTTAATGTATTTTGAAATGAGTCATTCGGTGATATGGGCTACTCAATTTTAAATTACGTTATCATTTTAACAATATTCTGATAGGTTGATTTTCTATTGAATTCTAGAAAGTTGAATATTTCTCTAATAAATTTGCATATACTACTTTGCCTGTCACCCGCGAGAGTACCTAGCTTCAACAAATCAACATCTCAATATCAAATCATCAAGTCAACAGATATTAGTGATCCAAGCCAGATGGCAAAATATCACACACACGACACAACACACTCAGGTAGTAATCCAAACATCACCAATTCGTATATACATCATCATTCCATCTCACCTGGCTTCACCTCAGCTCACCTCTATCTCAAATCTATCACCAATCCCACAAACACAATCAAAAGAACCTCATATCATTATAACATAGCACTGTTCACAATTCATGTCACCCTAGCCTATCATGCATCACGCATCATGATTTTCCTTGCATACCAGTTTCCCTATTAGCATCTGTCCCATCATTCTCGTTTCCATGCACTTGATTTCCCATACAAATCGTGGGTCAGATTCCCATCAATCAATCAATCAATCAATCAGATTCTCATCCTCCCATCATTGACTTTTCTTATCAATTGCTTAGAGAGATCTTTTCACTCCCAAGGGAAATATACGCCATGAAAAAGCAAGCAAGCCACCATTCCGCCAACCAGGCCACTAACATCCATAAAAAGATTCCTTTCTGATTGTTAATAACACATATTGCCAAAGGAATTCCTTTTCCTTGCCCATATCTAACCCTTTTCATATATCAATTTAAATCTAGCTTGAAGCTCTGTGGCGTTCACTCTCTAGCCTCGAGTAGAGCATGTATCTATTGATATATTAGTATTATGAAAATAAGAGTGAAAATGGGGAAAACTTACAAGGCCATTTGATTACACTCTGCTGTTCCTGTAATTGTGACTAGTCTCTCGTTTGAATTGTCTTGCGGCTCATTAATCTTAATGACACTGCCACTGAATTGTCTGATTTCATTAATCTTGGCACCACCTTTACCAATTATAGCTCCAACCATATCATTTGGAATGAAGATTTGTTGTGTTAGGGGTTGACCAGGGATAGCACCTGGCATAGGTTGACCTTGTGGGCCAGTAGCACCATGTGGTTGAGGAACAGCGTGGCCAGCTTGTTGTGGTTGTTGTGGGCCCACTCCACCATAACCGCCAACGGCTGGAGAAGCGTGTCCACCGTAATGTGCAGCAGCAGCTGGCTGTTGGTGAGGTGCTTGTCCTTGACCGTATGGTTGGGCATAGCTGTTTCCAGGAGTATGGTGAGATCCACGGTCAGAACGACGATGGTTGTCAGGGTGACCATAGTTTCCACCGGCTGGTTGTGGAACATATGGAACAACCTGCATACCACCTGGGACCACACCTGCAGGTCCACCACTTCTTGATGCGTAAGCAGATGCAGCAGGACCACCGAATCTCTCAGTCAATTGTTCAAACAATGTGCTTCCCACATAATAAGTTGCAATATGAACGGCATCTGCAACACCAAGAACCACAAGTGATCTCTCAGTTGACAGTGGAAGGTACGAATCGGAAGCATTCAGACGAGCCCCTGAAGCTTCTTGGATCTCCTTGATCCGAACACCACCTTTACCAATTATAGAACCAATCAAGATATGTGGAATAAGAAGGCGAAGAGGGTATGTCTTCGAGGTAGAGTCCGAAGGAGCTTCGAGAGGTTCATTGTTCAATGTTCGAATTATCAAACCAAATGCCTTCAAAAAATTAGTTATATTTCTTCGAATATCGAAACGAGCAAACATACCTTAGCTACTGCATCAACAACACCACTGACAGTCAAAATTCTTTCCACTGCACCCTTTTGATAATCGCTGACGGTACATTTTGCACCGGAAAGCTTTCGGACCAAGGAAACATTTTCCCCTCCCTTGCCAATAACGGTAGCAGCTTCGGCACTTGTAATTACGGACCGAACATGTATCCATCCGCTCTCGTCGTGTGGGAGAGCATTTCCTGAAGAAGTGCCCTCGGTTTTAGTAGGAACCGTTGTTTGGATTGGTTGTGTTGCTTCCGTAGTAGGAGCATCAGCAACCTCAGTATCCCCCTGGGCATCCTTTACTTCTTCTTTTATTCCATTGGCTTCATCAGGTTTCGCATCTCCATTTGGGTTGGTGAGGACTGGGAGCTCGGTTTCGATGACCGATGGTTTCTTTTCTGAACCATCTTCACCTTTTACAATCTTATCTAAGGCGGGACGCTTAGCATCTGGTTGATCGCTTGGTGCTGAAGGGGATGATGGATCCTCAAGAGGACGTTTTGTAGATTGGGTAGGAGCTGTTGTAGGTGAGGCCGACATTTTCGTTTGCTATTTGGTTAATCTCTTCTCTTGTATTTGTTTCACTTTAAGTTGAATAGTGATCGGAACGGGATTGAAAGATAAGTCAAATGACTATTTGGATTGATCGCTTTTTTATGTACACCAGAAGAGTCTTCGAAGGAAAACGTGCTGGTGTTGGGGTCGGAGGTAGGAAGCAGGGAATGGAGCGTGTGCTTTGACGGGGACTGCGAATAAGAGAAGATGTGTCGATAGGGGAGGAAGCAGATGTGGTGTAAAACAACAACTTGTAATAGACCTGCAAACTCTGGAAAGGGATCTGCTTGGAAGTTGGAAGGAGGGCGAATAGTTTCTGTGATTGTGATGGATGTGAGGGTTTTGGAGGTGAAGATAACTGATTTTGAAGAATCCTCTTAATTTTTTTTGGGGGAAGAAAAAAGCAGTATTAGGGACCTATCCTCAAACCTTGAGCTTTTCCACCAACGATTCCAAGTTATCGTTGTCTTGATGCTTTTCTTTTTCAAAGTACTGGATTACGTTCCCAGATATCAATTTCGATGATTGTTTAGTTTGCTGCGTGTTGATTGAAGGTTGCAGGAGATGGAGATGGAGATGGAGATGGAGATGGAGATGGAGATGGAGATGGAGATGGAGATGGAGATGGAGATGGAGATGGAGATGGAGATGGAGATGGAGATGGAGATGGAAATGGAGATGGAGATGGAGAAGCGACAAAGAGTAGATGGAGGTGAAATTCGAAGAGGTTGAAAATCGCGTAGATCTTTATTTCCCGAGGATGGTGGTTGATGTAGATAGATTGAGCGACTTAATTGAAGAAGTCGTTCAGATGATGAGAAGGATAATATTTCAATGAAGAAAAGGCAGGGGAAGGAGAAGAAGATGATTTAAAGAGAAGTAGTAGAATACCTAGCTGTTGGGTAGATATTTCAAAAGAAAGTAGCAGAGTAGCAAACAGGAAAGGGAAGAACCTTACGCGGTACTGGGGCGGTAGATCTGAGATGCGAGGGAAGCTTCACTAGCGTCGAAAAAGTTATGCTGTCTGTTTTTGGTCTGATGAGGAGGTCTGCATTAATGCTTGCATAAAATGTGAGTGATTGTGCCTGAGGTTTACTTCGTACGTTTAATCTTTCAAAAGGTTCATAGGTAGTACCGGTAATGATACCTAGGTAGATAGATATTATAACTTCACCTCACTCATTGAATTACAAGAAAAAGACCCCAGTGCTATTTACGAGTCAAGACTTCAATTATTCATCAATTATTCATCAATTATTCATCATCTATTCACCAAATCATACTTCACTTCCCCGCCCGCATCTTTGACATAATCCCATATCCCTTTTCGGCCCGCTCCTTTTCTTCAATATACCTAGAAACTCGTCTGCTTGTCACGACTTAATATATCCGTGCACATACATACAATCAGAGCATTCCAGGTTGCACGTGTTTTTGGCTGTCAAATCGAAACACGCTACATTTTCTCCCTCTGCTCCTTGTCTCAAGTTCTCAAGTTGCTGTCGATCGAGAATTGAATGAGATGATTGAAAGGATCAATTAAGACAATTTCAATCAATTGTCAAGAATCAAACTTGTAACCCCTTGCACACTCTATTTATCATGGATATTGATCAAGACGCTCGAATCTCCGCCGCATATACAACGCGTCTAGACCAAACCCTCCAAGATCTTCAAGATCGAGTCAAGCAGCAAGAAGCCGCACTTGCAAAGGTGGGTTTTCACTCTCTACCATATCACTTTCCAAAAACCTCAAGCTAATAATCCACCCTAGCTCCGAGCAAATACCTCAATCCCCATATCTTCCGGGCCATCACCCGACCCCAAAATTCACCTCCACCAACTCCGCGCTCTGAAAAAAGCATACGATACCCTCTCCGCCTCAACCCCCTGGCTCCCACCCCCCAAATCCGCCCTCCCCGCTCTCCTCGCCCACCGCACCACCACATACTGCATCCAAGAAACCCAAGAATGCATAACCACCAGCTCACATGACCTCACCAGCACCACCACCCTCCTCCAAAAAGAAAAATCCGACCACCAAGATGCCCTCTCCATCCAATGCACGCTCCAATCGCGCATTTCCACCCTCACAACCCAACTCACGCAACGAACCCAAAAATCCCCCTCCCAAATCTTTTCCGAGCTGCAATCCTCCTTCCAAACAGGCAAAACACACTACGACACCGAAACCGGCAATCTCATCCGCGCATTCAATGCCTTCATCGATACACATCTCGCATCCATGCTCGCGGCCGAAGAACTGGGCGGCCCCATCGTAGGCGAAATGCTCTCCATCACCCCGCAAACCCTCATCGCCGGTTTCAGCACGCAGGGAAAACCCAAAAAGCCAAAGGAAAAGCCAAATATGGATAAACGCCAGCGTCGCATCGATGAAATCTGGGGTCCCAAACCTTCTCTCGACCAAGACGATGACGAGGAAGAAGAAGAAGAAGAATGGGACGAAACACGTGCCGCGGCAGCTGAAATGCGCGAATTGGCTGAAGAGCTGTTGAATGGATTGTTGGAAGCTGATGAGAATGGCTCGGGGGGGTATGTCACGCTTGAAAGAGACAGTGCGGCAGCGAGATTCTTGGTTAGGAGTAAAGTTGCGCAGTATCATTTTAAGGATGCGAGGAAATTGAAACTGGTTGATTTTGAAAAGGATATTGTTTGATTGATTACCTTTTTTGTAGAATATATACCCATCCTTATTTAGATTACTGGATTACTACCTAGATTCGCAAGTTTCATACTTATATACTCACTCTTTGATCATGATGAATATACTATTCTATTCTCTCCCCTCTCACATCCCGCCTCTCACATCTCACACCCTTACAATAACCACCCAATAAACCAGACATCTCCCCATTTCCCACAATCCCACACCGATTGATACCAATACTTCCCTCGCAAATAAATTTACCAACCCACTAATCACAATCACAACCACAACCACAACTCCAGCAACCCCCTCACAAAACCTCACGCAAGCAGTCTCCAGTAACCCAATCAAAATAGTACATTATAAATAGAGTAAACGTGGTTCATCAGCATATAGGCCACTTCGAAAATGCATCAAAATCAAGATCTTCTTAATATTTATTTTTTAATATTTTTTAATATTTTTTAATATTTTTTATATATAAAAAATTACAATAAAAATAAAGTGTTTATAATATTTAGCATTTCTTTTTAAAAAATAATTCATTTTAGCTTGAAATTATTATAACGTAGTTTATCAGCATATAACTCATATTAGTATATAGTTCATTTTCATTTCAATTTATATCTTTCTTTTTCAATACATATTTTATCAACAATCTATTATAAATTCGAATAATTAAAAAGTCTGTATACTCCTTGTCATCAAAGCTATTCGAAAAGACAAAAAACAAAGCATTCGAAAGATTATTAATATATATAATATCCTACATATAATATTATTATATAGAATTAACAATTTTACTCTTTATATAGAATATTAATATAAATCTTATAATCTTTTAAAATTAGAAAAGAATATTATTATTAAATATATATTTAATATAAATTCGAAAGTTTTTTTTATTTAAATTTAAGAATATGAAAAATATAATAAATTATATTTTTGAATTAAAGAATATAAAGAATATTAAAAAGCTTTAGGTGTATTGATTTGTAAAGTATTGAATTAAATTAAAAACATATTTTAGTTATATTTATAATTTTCAAAAAGCTTTTTATAAGGATTTTAAGCTTATTAAAAAATGATTTTAATTAATTATAAATATATAAGTAAAATATAACATTTTAAATAGAAATTTCTATAATTTTAATAAAATAAACTTTATAATAGGGATTATATGTATAGTAATGATTATTATTAATGCTAAAAAACATAATAAAAACAAATTAGTATAATTAGGTAATTGAGAATAGGTTATAGTAATAATATGCGGAAATGAAGAGAGTAAAATTATTCCTTTATTTTTAATAGTTTAAGGATAAGTTTATCTTTTTAATTGGTATATTGAAATAAATTTTTTTATAAAATAAATTATTAAATTTATATTTAATAAGTGAATAAATAATAAAATAGATTTAAAATAATTGAAATACTTTAACAAGTATATTAAAAATTAAAGAAGAGTAATTATCGAATGTTAGTATTAAATAAGTATGAAAGCTATTAATTAGTAGTTTTTCAAGTATATTATAAAGAGAATAATATTATATATTTATATTTACTATTATATTTAAATCATTTAATTTAATTACTTGATATTGATTATTTTAGCAATTTAAATGTTTATATAGTAGTCAAATTGATAGATTTATTAAGGTATATATTAATTATATTTCAAAGATTAAATTCTTTATAGCTTTTAAAATTGTATATAAGGAATCAATTATCTTTCAAAATATAAAATCAAGATTTCAAGGAATAGGTTTAATTCTATTTAATTCTAAAACTATATTCTTGAAATTAAATATTCGAATTTGTATATTTACCTTCCTTGCTTTTCATCTAAATTAATAAATCTTTTAAACTCCTTATAATTCAATAAAAGCTTTTTTTTTTAATTAATATTAATTAAATCTTAAATAATTTATTATCAATTAAGCTTCCTTACATTTATATTCGAGATTGTACTAATTCTAATTAAAAGTACAAAAAGATTAGCTTATAAAAATATACTTTTGACTATAAAGATTCATACACTTCAAAAAGTAAATGAAATATTAAGTAAGTATTAATATATATAAAAAAACTTAATTATATTAAGAAGGAATACTTATTAAATAAAAGGCTTTTGATATATTATCTTAATAAAAGGTTGATATTTAGATTCAATATAACAAATATAAAAAAAAAAGAAATTTTAATAAGAAAGTATTTTCTAATTAATATTATAGTAAATATAAAAAGACAGATTATAATACAAAAATCTATTAGAATAATATAATAGATCCTAGATTATTAGATTCTTAATAATCTTAATCAATTAATTCAATTGTTATTGAATAATATAGATTTGAAAATATAAATTGAGATGAAAATAGGCTATATGCTGATATGGGTTACATGCTGATAAACTACGTTACTTTATATTACGAAAACTCTTATTCTTTCATAACTTTCATAGTAATTCAAATTTTGAAAAAAAGAATTAGATTTTTGAAATAATTGAAAAATAAAGTTTTTGGAAAATGCTATTGATTCATAAAGAAAGTGTATAATTACATACAAACGAATTTTATATATAAAATGAAGTGGCTCATATAGTGATATGGCCTACATGCTGGTGAACTACGTTATATAGTTTAAATTTAAAAATACAGTTTACATTTAAACACAATTTCAATAATTTTATACAGTTCAGACAATATGATAAAAAACCAGCAACCTCCACTAAGGTACTTACAGCTCTTCTCATTCATTTTCGCTACTGATTCGATTTCACTACTGGCTACTCTGCCACTGCTCTTTCGTTCTTTTTTTAGCACTTCACTTCACCTCACTTCACTCACGTCTCTGCTTCACAACACTCACTTCTGTACTTCACAATCCCCACGCTACCATTAGGTGTGTATATACATGGTACATACACACATACACAGTATACGGCACATACACAATACACACAAGATTCATCATAAATCTGCACTAAACTACTCTACCCTACACTTCCCTTCCCCATCCCATCCCTCTAATTTTCAAATTTTCCTCCTTTCAACCCATCCACCCATTGGAAGGAATCCTAACCTAACCTAACCTAACCCAACCCAACCTAAACGCCCAGCCCACCCATATGAAGAATCGGACTACTAGAAATGGTATGTGAACAAACGCCTTACATGAAACGAAACACGAACGAGTAAAGCAGAATCATTAATGTACCAACAATCCCCTTTTCCCTAGGCATTTTCACTTTTCTCCGCCGTGAAGAAGCGGAAAGAAAACAACAGACACAAGAAATGCTTAAAAAGAAGAAGAAGAAGAAGAGAAGAAGAAAAAAAACTCAAAGAAAACCCCTCAAATATTTATCTTGCCTCCATGGAAGCCTTTCCCTAAATATCAACAGTATCCACACTAAGCTCCACTAGTACTTCATATCTTTCCATGCATCTATCTCACTTAGTTCTCCCGAAAAGATGTCTCTTATGACCATCCTTTCCACCCTTTTTTCCATTCGGCGAACCACTGACATCCTCTTTTCCATCATCATTGTATTTGGATTTGTAGATCCTGTTTCGCGTTAGATATATTCGATATTTCATCCACTCCAAGTCCAATATCTTTGCGCTTGCACCCGCCAGATATCGCATCTTAGATTTAAAAGAGAAGAAAACATACCAACTATTCCCAATCATACTAATCCCCTTACTTTCCGCTGCCCGATAAAACTTGGCACTCTTCTTAAGGTCCTTTTTACACCCCACTCCCTGCGCGTAACAAAATCCCGCTTCAGCTAAAGCATCGCCATCACCCCAAGCTATTCAAACTGTTAGTACCTTGTCTCAATATGCATTTGCACTACCTCAAAAATAGAATAAAACTCACATCCAGCAATCTCAAAGCATCTCAAAGCAAGAGCTTTGTCCTGTTCGATACCCCAACCATTCATATGACTGACTCCCAACTCATAAATGCTAAGCGCAAATTGAGCCTTTCTAGTTTTCCTTTCCAAAACATCGACAGCTTTTCCATCCTTTGCCGTATCTTCGTCATCGGCAACCTCAAGGCTAGCCGAATCCGCAGCTTTTCTCAACCAAGCTACACCTTCTCTCTGATTAGGTCGCATACCCCAGCCATGTCTACAAGCGAGTGCATAGAGAAGCATACCCGTAGGATGATTCTGCCTGGCTGCAAGACGTAGATGATAGGTGGATTTGGTTAGAGAACCAGCTTCATGATACTCGATAGCTTTCGCAACATGTTCCTCTCCAGACATTTCGGCCGATGAAGCTAGTGAATGTTGCGAGCGAGCTTTTATTGTAGTATTTGAAGAGGCAATCGATGGTGCGTGGTTGTCCTTTTTCGCTCCATCTTTATGTAAGGTTGGGGGTGCGTCGAATGGTGATGGAAGATGACTAGGGTCTGTTAAGCTTCGTCCTCTTTCCGCCAATGTTGTGGGTTCAGAGCCCTGCTCTAAGGAAGGACGTAAATGTGAAATATCTGGCTTGGAAGAAGTCGATGGTCGAGATGGAGGTGATGGCGGAGGTCCGCCTTCAATCGTTTGATTACTGCCTAGGAAGGCAGGGGGTTGTTGCTCAAAAACAAATTGAGCTTGCGGCTGTCCTTCTTGGAAAATTGCCGAATTTCTTTGTAACATCTTGCCTCTGGGCAGATTGAACGTCGAGTATACATAAGATGGTGCAGCTCCCTCGCTGAGAAGGTTGTGATCCGGAAATCCTTCACTATGCATACTCACAGGAGTATGAGCAGTATCATCCGTAAGAATAAATGAAGGCTGGCTATCAGAAGATGCCTGTCGGGAAGGTATTGTTGGTTTGTCTTCCATTGGGTGATTGCTCGATCTACTAATTGGCCGAGAGAAGTTGAATGCAGGTCTGGGGAGATGTGTGTGGTCTACAGAATAGTCGGAGCTCACAGATGGAGATCGTGGTACTGAGGAGTTGAAAGAAGGAGAGTTTGGTGTGCTTGACATGGCACTTGTTGAAGAAAGT